ATTAATAGTGAAGTGATATAATTACACTTAAAAATAAATGTTAGTGTTAAAATTGATAAAATTAAAAGGTTGGTGATATAAACGAGTCAATACTTAAAGGTTGATGGTATTTGAATTAATTAACCATAAATAATTATACAGGAGATATTTAATTTTCAGCTGATTTTCTTAGAGGAAAAACATAATGATAAATATATAAGGAAAGAAGAAAATGAAGTTCACAAGTGACAAGAAAGGGAAAGGGATGAGATTTAGATTTGCTGTGTTTTGTATGGTGTTGGAATGAAAGAAGAATTTGTTTCCTTTTTCTTTGAAAAGCTATGCCTCTGCAAGAAGAAGAGATTAAGCAGATTCAAACTCCACCATTGTTGATTCTTGACGGGCTAAGTTGTGAAGGAAACCGAAGTCAAATTTGCGGTGAAACTGAAACAGTTGAAAATGAGACATTTTTTACCTTTGTTTCTTATTGAACATGATCTGTTCTGGGAAGACGACGAGTTAACCTCTTTAATGTCTAAAGAGAAACAAAGCCATCATTGTTTCATTGATGTTAACTCTGATGATTCTTTGATTTCAGCTCGTAAAAAAGCTTTGGAGTGGATTTTCAAGGTTAAAGCACACCATGGGTTCAATGCTTTAACCATAGTTCTTTCAGTGAATTACTTTGATAGGTTCATTTCAAGCTTTAATTTCCGAAAAGACAAGTCATGGATGGGACAATTAGCTGCTGTTGCTTGTTTGTCTTTAGCTGCAAAGGTCGAGGAAATCCAAGTGCCACTTCTTTTAGACCTCCAAGTATGTGTCAAAATGTCTGATTCTAGTCCAAGTTTTTTGGGTTTATAAAGTTGTGTTTTTGAGCTTGTTTTTGAGTTCTAAATGATGGGGTTTTGTGATTTTTTCAGGTTGAGGAAGCAGAATTTGTGTTTGATTCAAAAACTATACAAAGAATGGAGCTTTTGGTGTTGTCTACTCTGCAATGGAGGATGAATCCAGTGACCCCAATTTCCTTCTTTGATCACATTACAAGGAGGCTTGGATTGAGGACTCATCTGCATTGGAAATTCCTTCACAGTTGTGAACAATTACTTCTCATTCTCATTGCAGGTAAATTATATATTTCAGATTACTTGTTCCAAGAAGGAAACTGAGAATGTGTGACCATTTCTTGAGTTCTGATATTAGTTTTCCAATTCAATTTCGACCCAGATTCGAAGTTCATGCTTTATGTTCCTTCAGTTCAAGCTGCTGCAACAATGTTTTATGTTATTAAAGAGATTGAGCCAGACCATTACCTTGAATATCTGAAACAGCTTATTCGAGTAATCAAGACAAATGAGGTTCTTATTTTGTAAATAATTTACCTTGCATAGAGTACATTGGAACTCGATTTTCTGTTAGTTAATTGTGCCTTTTCTTTCAACAGGATGAAGTAACTGTGTGCTGTGAGCTCATCTCCGAGTTATTGGAAGGCCAAAGCAAACGAAACAAAGGCGGAAAACGCAAGCATGGATCAATATCAAGCAGCCCTAATGGTGTTATTGATGCATCGTTTTGCTGCGGTAACTCGGGTGATTTGTGGACTGTGACATCATCACCTCAGCTACTGTTCAAAAGAAGTAGATCAAAGGATCAGCAAATGCGGCTACCTTCGGTAAATCGTATGTTCGTTGATGTGCTTAGTAGCCCTCGTTAGTCTTTCCTTGTCATAATAACTAGTACTAGCATTGAACATGTTACTTAGAATTCGTTCTTTTGCACATTAGCCGCTGTATTTGTTCTTAATTTGCAATCAATGTGTTTCATAGCTTAATGTTACCTTCATGGCCAAATTTGCTAACAGAGATGGATTGATATCCCCTAAGTTTTCAACTTAAGAGGTCGGTTTGGAGTTTCCCGATGAGTAAGGGATTGACATGAATGCCATGCTGTGCTATGGCTTTGGATTCTTCTAATTTTCGAATGTGAAAAAAACTTACATCCAAGAAGTCCTCTATATCTGCATATCTCTATATAGTTCTGCTCATTTATCCTATAACATAGGTTAAAGTAGAATTAAGAACAAGGTACTCTACCTAAATCGAAACATGCCTTGAACAAACCGATTTGATTTATGTGCTTTTGGGGGTAGATGAATGCTCGTTCTTGTTTGTTGCGGTATTTGCGAATGTCTAGTACCGAAGAAAAAGGTTGCTGGGTAAGTAATCGTAAGTGAACATTCAAGGCATAGAAACTTAATCGTAGGAGAGGAACTTCAAATAAACTGGTGGTTTTAGTTAATCTGTTCCTATTATTTCCCGATGTTTCTTGACCGTCGTCATATGAAATGCATAAAGAAACTTTCTGCAGACATCAAAAAGCTAGGTTAGGAAGAATTAACTGGTCCCCGGTTTTTTTTGGACTTGCATGAGTAACATTAGCATCAAAAAATGTTTTGGGAATATCTCCGTATGAAATGCGTAAAGAAACTTTTGATGAGCATCAAATAGCTAGTTAGGAAGAGGGTTTCCGGTTTCATTTCAACTTGTATGGTGAGCGTTAGCATCAGAAAGTGTTGTGGGCATTATCATAGCGATTCTTTGGTGTTGTTTCGACGTGCATGATGAACATTAGCATCAGAAAATGTTGTGGGGATGATCATCATAATGTATGGTGAAAGAATGATCGGTGTAGAATAAATGACATGTTTTTGAGCATGTTAGGAACTTGTAATTTTTTTATTTAATATTGGGTGATTACAAGGGTAGTATTTGTTTAAAATCTTTATTAACTATTGATACTACATACCACGTCGTAGAGGTTGGTGTTTGAACTCAAGATCTCTAAAAAAAATAACACTTCCCTTGATTACTGATGTCACTAGATGGACTTCTATCCTCGAGTAAAGATGCTTACCATATAATTTATGGTAATTTCCTTCTTGCTAAAGATGCAAAATGGAAGGTCATATGGTAACTTCAAGTCCATCAGTAGGTTAAAAGAACAGTTATTTTTATAAATATACAATTTTGATAAATATTTTGTTAACATTTAAAACTTCGTGTTTTAAGAATTTTGTTCACAATCGTAATTATTTTCTAAACAAAAAAAATTCTAAAAAATCTGAAAATTAATTAGCTTTATAAAAAATTCTTTCTTTGATGTAATGTATAAAATCATGTACAAAACTGTGAAATTAGGAGCTTGTTAATCTAAAGAATCCTTGAATTATAAAACATGATTCTAGAAAAACAGAAAACAGTCGATCATAAAAGTAAGGATAAATTATAAATTTACTCACTGAATTTTACTTTCTCTCTATTTTACTGTGTATTTTTTAATTTTTTCAATTTAATCATTAAACTTTATATATTCAAATTTTTTTATCACTCTACCATTTTCTTAATAAAGGTGTGATTATGTGACTTATTTTAATATTAAAACGAGTCGCATATGATATTTAATAAAATAAAAATTAATGTTTTAGGGTCAAATTTACGGTGAAAAAGTAACTGAAGAGAAACCATCCATAACAGCCTTTCCTTTGTTCTCTTCATCACCTCTTTCAAAATCAGAAACTATTCCTTTTCTTTGGACACTACAGAATAGGGTCCATGAATGATCCTTGGATTCCTACACAGAAGCATAATTGGAAGAGAATTTAGGGGAAAGCATGAAAAGTTTATATCCATCTGTCATGGAAACCAGAGTAAGCATCTCAAAGGCAAAGGGGAAGAAAGGGAATTGAATAACCCTGGAAGATTTGACCAAACAAGGAAAGAAGACGAATTTGGGAGAGAGAAGCAGAAAAGTCCATCAGACGATGAAATGAGATTGAACTGAGCAGTAGAAAGCGACAAGAAAGAGAAGGGAGTGCTAAATTACGTCAAACCCCAGGGATTGTTTTATAGAGAGGGAAATGGCCATAGCACTTAAGGATGGGAAAACAACAAAAACGAAGAGAAGTGAGAAACAGAGGAGTGTTTGGAAATGAAAGAAGGGGAGAACACAAAAGATATGAAACGCTTACAAGTTGACCTCAAATTCAAGAACATTTAAGAGGTAAAATGGAAAGTATGTGCTCTAGAAGTTCCGATAGCAGTTTGCTCCAAATCTCAGGATCCATCTTTGCTGATATGCATCTCTTAAATTTCAAGCTTTTTGTAATAATGGTTTTCCTAATTCAATCTTCAGATGAGATGCTGCTTGATGTCGTGCACTCTTGAGTGACAGCCTCACCCTCCCATCGACGGAGGGTGGCTCATCGTGGTTCAAGCTCCTCCTTACAAACCAACATCTTCTCACTTGAACCCTTGTGTATTTTTCTGCTATATATTCCCTCACTTGCATCCTTTGTTTTGAATGTTAAACTAAGAGAGTTGATTAAGGGTTTTGGTGTCAACGAAACTGTTATATATTTTGGAAGGGTTTGGTCTCGTCTTGGATAACTACCAGTGAATGGCCTGCACGAATCCACATGGTGCAGTTCCAGCGGAATGTCATTGAAGATTGCACAAAATTCTTATCTGCAACAGTTGAATCAGACAGTGATGAAGATGATAATGAAATTTGATAAAGATGAGTCTAAAGACGAGTAAGGAGTTCAGTTTCTAACTGTAAAGATGGGGGTTTCTTTTGTTTGGACTATCGTGGGATTGGGAAGAAAGCTTGGAGGACTTTCGAAGACTATGTGAATATGGGTTTTCCTAATCTTTTAAGGAATTCCTGGATAATTAAGCATTCACATGGGTTTTGTATTGTATAAGAAATAGAATTCGACGATGCTTGCTAGGAAACTTGTAACTGGATTGTTGAGGTTGGTGGCAGAAAGGGGAGGGAAAGATGATATTTTTAAGTGTTTTTAAGGCTGCTCAGTTAAAAAATAATAATATATTAAGCCATGCCATGACACCGTTGGACAATTAACGGTGGAGAGATAAAAAAATCCAATATATAAAGTTCAGTGATTAAATTAAAAAAAACTAAAAGATGAGTAAAGTAAGAGATAGAATAAAGTTCAGTGAGCAAATTTGTAATTTATCCAAAAAATAAAGCAGTTCCGGGAAATCAAGTACATATGCATCCCGACTAAATTTCGCTTACCCTGGAAATTGGGGGGGGGGGGGGGGTTGAAAGGTGAAACCAAGAATCTAACATATTCTATCTTACAACATTTTTCAAGCCTGAAAGTCGACATCGGTTGAATTCGGGATAGCCGATCTAGTTGTCTTTCCCTTTACCATCTGAAACTCTAGATCGGTCGTACGCGGATAGAAAAAATGTGGACTGGTTTTTCTGTAGAAACCTGCATTCCATATAAGCGGCGTTTTGAATAAATTTTATAATAATAAAAAAGAAAAAACTGAAACTGAATTTGTGTTCTAAATGAACCAGTGTTTAAAAGATAAAATGCTCTAGGCAGTGAGTTGATACTTAAGAAAATCAATTATCTTCTGTTGCAAGTGAGTCAAGGTTTCCTCTTCAATCTTCACATATGCCAATAGCTCAGGAAACTTAACTGCGAACACGGAAACGTGTTATTAGTATAGCAAAACTTCTAACATTCGCAAAGTATCAATATCATCACGACATTTTGATGCATTTTTTCAACGTGATGCCATCAAAACAGGCCCTCGGGGCTTGATGGTATCGGCAAATAGATGTTTTATATTCAGGATTTTTGAAACTTCATCAAAGATGCATTCAGAAGTGCGAGCCCAAGAAATGGCCATACCGAAAAGGCGTAGTAAATGCTCAGCACCATATATAGTTGATGGGGATACATCATCAACGATTACTTCATGGTACTGTTGGCGCTCTTTTTCATATAGAAGCATTACAGGCAAAGCTTTGTCGAAGTAGCAGCGAATTCCTTTCAAGATCTCTCCAATTGAATCACTCATTCTGTACTCACGAGAAAAAAAGTCTATGTCACCGTTGTATTGTAAACTTAAGATTTCAGAGGAAAACAAAACCAAAGGAGAATTTCATGTTTATAAGTACCATTGAGTAAAATATAATCAAAAGTTCGAACAATATTGCCCCTAGAATTCTCCTTTTAAATCCATAAATAGAGTTTCTCTTTAGAATACTTCATTATGACCATTTCTAGTTTTTCTTATCTATTGGTCCTTCAGATTACACCTCATAAAATGCTACTTCAAATTTTCTTTCATGACATATGTTTTACAAGGAAATATGACATCGAAATATAATTAATATCATGGGATGTCACAACAAATGGTAAGATAGAGGACAAAATGGAGACTAATTATTCAAAAACAAATTACTATATGATTAATTAATGTTTGTTTGAAGGTGTTAACGAATTTAAAAGTAAACTTACGTGCCATCCTTCTTGCACCTGTATTCAAGGTACTTTGTCAAAATATCATCAACATTTGGCGAACGAGGAAGTTTAACAAGCTGCAGAAAAGATGGATTACAGCCACCAAATCAGATTATTAGTGTACCAGGGTAACAGTGATAAGTATCATTCAATATGCCCCAACTATTCAATAGAAAATTATTAGACGATAAAAACTAAATAATTAAATTGCAAGAGTTTGGTGAATTTTAACTCATCCACGAGATCAAGGCTTCAGAAGTTTCATGTTAAGGCTACAAAAACTGCATTGCCATCAGAAATGTTCATAGGCTAGGTCAGGTCAGGTTCAGATCAGACTAATGATATTAGCAAACTTTATACTTGTCCAAACCCATTCTAGGATCACTTATATTATTTTAAAAAAATATTTATTCAAGTTTAAATTAATATTATATAATTTTTATTATTAAAAATTTAAATATACACAACTTAATACATTTTTTAATGTTTACATTATAGTATTGCATATTAGTATAGATTTAATTTTATATAATTTATAGATTTAGTTTTTATATATATAAATTACTTAATACATACAAATACAGCAATATAATATAATTTTTTTAAAGAATAATATAACATATTAAAAACTTATAAAAAAGGCCGAACTGGGGTCAAGACTTGAATATTTGAGCTAGCTAGCCCAACCCATAATTAAGTTGGTTTATTTTTTTTTTGTCCAAATCTATTTTACACTCCTAATATTTTTTTGTCTAAATCCTCTCAAATTTTGGACGACACATCAGACTTGGATGGTTAGTCGGACCCTTGAACAAGTTTAATGGCCATAATTGACAAATAAATAATGGCATTATCAAGGATGCAATTGTTAGTTCCATACTTCCTCTGTTTCAAGTTAAATTATGAAGCAGCAAGTAAAATTGTAAGAGAAAAAGGTTGCTCCAGAAGTTCTAGAAAAGTTCATGCACCTGATCCTGTTGCGTAACAAATTCCCAATCATCAACAAGCTGCTTCCTTAGGGTTGATGGAATTTGGATCTTGATAGGCTTTTCCATGGATGAATTGTCCTTCTAAAATTTATAAAACAAGTTGTGAAAATCAAAAGAAAAAAAATAAAAGAAGAGGAGGGGGGTAAGAATCAATGGATTTAGACTACAAATAAGAACAGAAAAAAGAATTTTTTTTAAAAGCCTGTAATTAATCAAAATACAAACCATACCTCAACACCTGAGTCGCTCTTTCTCTTCTTCCCTTTTGGCACTGCAATAAGTACAAAAAAATTATCTCCAATAAAAAAGGTTAATGTCTTCGCTAGAAGCCATGATGTTACTAAGGAAAAGGTTCACAATAGGCAAAATAATCGAAGTGACTGCTGAACCAGGCCATCAGGAATTAATGGTTGACAGTTGACACCATTTTTGTATCAAAATAATCAGTATAGTGAATGAGGCCATTGACTCAATTGTGAATTTATATCAATAAATGCATGCTATTAAAAACAAATCCATTCAATCACCATACAATGCCAACACAAGATCACAAAACTAAATGCCACATGTAACTTACATTACGATTTGCTGAAAGTTCAATACAACCTCTACAGTAACAGAAAGCTAAACCTACACGTAATAAAAGAACTAAAAATACATGAGAATGTCACAATCAAGAAAAATGCTTGATAGTATAGGAATATATTGATGATACAGAAAAGCCACTCCACAACAGAAAGAAAATCAGTTATAAAGACAGGATAATACAAAAAAAAAAAAGCTTTACCGGTGTTCTTCAGGTCCTCTTTATCCAGTTTTGCATCTAAAAAGATAAAAACACAAGAAAATTAGATGGGCTCAATTAGGGAATGAAGGCAAACGATAATGACAACAACATTAACTATATGAAAACTTCTCAACTGTTAAAAGATCCCTCAATACTTGGCCATACTTATATACGCATATGGATAATGAATAGAAGTATTAAGATAACAATAAACAAACCAGTGTCGAAGGAGTTAACTAACCAGTAGAGCTTTTCGGCTTGGTCTGACTTGAACGCCCTGGCCTTGAACCTTTTTCAACACCTTGTTTTCTGTCAAGGGCTTGCTGCTTCCTAACATTCTCTTCAGTGTTTTTCATCAGCCGATCAGCTGCTACCCATTCATCCCAACTGTTGGCAAGATGTCCAAGCCATAGAAATGATTTCTGTTTCCCGTTTGAGAAAGGGGATATATAAATGAATGAAAGGAGACATTTCCTAGTAATATATTGGATTTTGATTACCTTTTAGGATTTCATAATAGCATAAATGAATTATTATCCACAAAGAAAATGTAAGAACAACAAATATGCAAATTTTAATCAAAAACCTTATTTCTCTTGTTTAAAGGGGAAACGAGGATAGTAAGTGATTAAATAAATATTATAACTTCAAATACATGTCAGGATCCCTAAATTAATTGATGAATGCCAATTACCTACTTTCACATGAAAGCATATTTCTGCTTAAATTCTATATAAGAAACATTATAAAAAGGTATGTTGTAGACTTTTAGTGCTTTAAAGGGTAAGTTTTCAGAGGAATAACTTCATCATAAATTTCACACGGGCACAGTTCTACGTAAAAATGTTAGATGCATAACCAGTCATAAAAAATTAAATAGTAAATCAACGGAAAAGAAAAATTAAGGCGGTAACTTAGATTCAGCTGAGAGCATACTACTGAATACATACTTTTTATTCCAACCCTGCAAAACAGCAAAAGAGACATCTCTTAATGCCATAAATAAGTAAATGTTTAGCTTATCCTACAAAACTGACACCACAATATTATGCATCATATGGACTTTCAAATGTATATGCTTATATCGAAGATTAGGGTAAACTTCTTTAAGTGTCCTTGGACCTCGCCAAGGGTATTATGCCACAGGAGGTTCCACAACTATGTCAACTTCACAGAAAGGAGTGGATATTTGGAAGGGAGAACTGAGATGGCCAGTGAGCAAGATTAAGGGTATATCCATTATTGATATTAAATTAAGGATTGTTTGGAATGCTTATATACAGGAATACTCTAAGTAATCTATTGGGCATCTTAAGGAGTCTATCAGGTTAAGACTAGCAGGGTTAAAAAAAATCTGAAGCAGACTTTGTAGATAGGACTCTTTGTATAGCTTGGGTCTTAAATTGTTCCCTTTTTATGTGCGATTCTTAGGTCTCTAGCTAGATTGGCTGAATAGTTTGATATAGCAGTTTATTACATGCTTATCCAAGAAAACTAGTTAAGGGCAAGTAGACTTACAAGGTAATGAACGAAGTACTTCCATTCTTTCTTCCGAAGCTCAGTTTTTGAACCTGAAACGTAATATCATAATTTATTAATTGCAGAAACCCTAATTTCACCCAATCAATTCCTAAATGGCCTATATTATGGACTCTAGCGTCCTAAATAATTAACCACCCAAATGATTTCAGCATCGGATAACGTAAATCAGCAATCATACGGGCATAATTCAAGCAAATCGATAAACAGTGAAATTTGGAAGCGAAACAACGGAGATGATTCAGTCTAAAGCAACGACGAGGTCAAACAAAGAGCGAAACAAAGAAGGCAGAGATAAGAGAGAGAGAGTATACCTTGGCTTCGTAGATATAAGGGCCGTGATAGGCGAGAACACGTTCGCCCTCGGAGAAGATGTTCGAATCGGAAGGAGGGGTGTCACGGCTCGACGTATCAGCGTCGGCTGTCGTCTCTTCCTTCAACGAGCTTCCCATTTTTTCCTGGTACCGCAAAAAGAGAGGGAATTATAAAATATAAAACTAGTTTTAATTTTTATATTAAATTAATACTGAATTCTATTTTTTTATTTGAATCAAATGATAAAAATTTAAGGGTAAACTACACCATTACTCACTATTGTTTGAGTATATTTTCGTTTTCTCCACTTAAATGTTAAAATTAACAAATTGGTCATTAACATGATCGATTTGTAACAAAATGTCACTAACGTGATCGATTTGTAACAAAATGATCACTCCACCATTATCTATGTTAAATTGATGGTGTGGAAATATTAACATAAAAGTTAATATTTAGTTTTACCCTTAAACTACTTCTAAAACATCAAATAGGTCCATAGATAGTAATTTTATATCTAATTTACCCAAAAACTTTAGGAAAATTCTAAAACCAAACATTCCCTGCCTTCATCTTCACCACCACAAACAATCCCACAACAACCCGTAACCCACATTTCGTCTCCTGTTAATCTCAATTTGATGAAGTTATTCAATCAGGACATCACTTTTTGCTTTTTCACATAATCACTGTAACACCCCTAACTCATATTCGACCCGAATACAAGTCCGAGATGTCACATTGACTTTTCAAACTTTGATTCTTAAAGAAAAATCCCGGGAATTTAAAACTTTCATTAAAACAAAATACTTTAATTTACATAAAAGAGACCACTTAATACAAAATCGATCAGAACATTCGTAATTAACCACTTATTACATACCAACACTTTATACACAACAAAATACCTACTTTGTCAATTACTTCTGATCTGATTTCTTAGTAATGTTGCTGTCCGTGCCACTGCTATTCTGAATCTTCTTATTTCTTGGTACCTACGTGTAAATCACTTACACGCTAAGTCATAGACTTAGTGAGGCAATAAATGAATATGCAACAATATCTTCATGAATATGCATTCTTACCATTTCCTTCATGACATTTCAATATGCATGTATCTATTACACAATAACATATATAATCATATCATGCATGTACAAAACTTACCTTCTTGTACCACTTTCACTTACTTTGTATTTCAATTGCCCATGTATATTATTGAGAATAGAGGTATGTGAGTGCATTGAGGTTGTGCACTAATGCTGTCACCACAGCTCGCATCAATTCCCTCATGGGGCACCGAACCTTAGTTCAGTATTCGTCCCGAAGGACTGTCATATATGTCCCGTAGGACCACTACATCCCGAAAAACTACGTCTCGAAGGACTATTATACCCTCGACTCTTGGCATGCCAATTACACCTATAGCTCTCATATCGTATATTATGGGCATTATTCTTATATTTTATATGTTCATGTACTCATGTCATTTCTCTTGTGATCATGTAGTTCATGTCATTTCTCTTGTGATCATGTAGTTCATGTCATTTCTCTTGTGATCATGTAGCTCATGTCATGTTCTCATATCACATATCATATCACATGTGTATTTGAATCTATTCATATATATACATCATTTATCCAATCACATGAACATATATATGCCTTATGCATATATTACAATAATTATCATGTATGCATGTTCACAACTATTGTACTATGAAAATCAATATATGAATTAGACTTATCACAAGTCTTATTCCATTATACTATACATATTATGCACTCACCTTAGGTTTGCTTTGATTCGATTCTAATCCTTTGATCGTTCCGGAATAAGCTTACTTTTAGTATCTACATAATCACACATGGATCTATATCAGTATTATAGCTAATATACTGTAATGGTTCACTCTTTAGATTAAGATAAATGTCAATTTCCTCTTTTAATGAAGGTATGCATCGATGCACTACTTGTGCATCGGTGCATAAAATGCATTCGATGTTTTATTATTAATGGGATGCATCGATGCATGCCTTATGCATCGATGCACTAATTGCATTCGATGTTTTTATTTTAAAAGAGTGCATCGATGCACTACATGTGCATCGATACACCTTCAAACACTTTCTGGGTTTTAACCTTGATACATCGATGCACTATGAATATGCATTGATGCACTCTGCCCAGAATCCTCTTTTGAACCCGAAAATTCATTCATTTTGGATTAAATCCTTCATGTTTATTCCCCTTTTTCACTCTTAACTCTAGTACACATCCTTAAACCAATTTATACTCATTTATTTCATCTTAAACCTCCAAATCATATCCTTCATATGTAATTCAAGAATTACATCAATAATTCAACATGTTTGAATTCCACTTTTAACACTTCGTATATCTTAACTAGATTGATGAAAAGTCAAATTTAACTTTCAATTCTAGTTATGAACTTTATTCCAAGATTTCATTTAAGAACTTCAAATCTTAAATCTCTCATAACTCCATCATCCTTTGATGTTAAGATAACTTAAGCTTTCCTTAAGCTTAGTTATCATCTAATAATCAAAACCCAATATTAAATTTAACAAGAAATTCAATAATCAGAAATCTTACCTTGGCTTTGGTTCACAAGCACAAGGAAGAAAGAAGAAGAAGAGAACTCTGGAAGTCTTGGGTGTTTTCTCCCATTCCACCCACGTGTATCCTTATATATATACTTATCTCTTCTTTAATTATTTTTCCTTGCAATTACTCTATTGTCCTTTCATTCATTCTTCCTTTCAATTCCATCTACACAATAATTACAATCATCTACACACATAATTTACATGTAAATCTTTATACTATTCATTCATTTTATTTTAACCACCAAATTTGAGACTTTACAATTTAGTCACTAACCTGATATTGAGGATGTTACAACTCTCCCCCCTTAAGAAAATTCGTCCTCGAATTTTCATTATACAAAGAGGTAGGGGTACTTAATCCTCATGTCCTCTTCACGTTCCCATGTTGCTTCCTCTACTTTGTGATTCCTCCACAAGACCTTAACCAATGGAATAGTCTTGTTCCTTAGTTGCTTGATTTCGTGAGCTAATATTTGAACAGGTTCTTCCTCATAAGTTAAATTTGGTCGAACTTCAATTTCTTCAGCAGTCACAATATGGGATAGATCAGATCGATATTTCCTAAGCATTGAGACATGAAAGACATTGTGTATCTTTTCCATTTCAGGTGGCAAAATTAGTTGATATGCTACTGGTCTTACTCTCTTAGTAATCTCGTAAGGCCCAATGAATCGAGGACTCAACTTTCCTTTCCGTCCAAACCTCAATACTTTCTTCCACGGAGACACTTTCAAGAACACTTTATCTCCGACTTGAAATTTAATCTATTTCCTTTTTAAATCAGCATATGATTTATGTCTATCAGCTGCAACTTTCAGATTATTCTGAATTACTTGAACTTTTTATTTCGTATTCTGAATCAACTCAGGAACAATAACTTCTCGATCCTTAAGTTCATACCAGTTCAGGGGCGTACGACATCTTCTTCCGTATAGAGCTTCATAGGGAGCCATTTTGATGCTTGACTGATAACTATTGTTGTACGCAAATTCAGTAAGTGGTAAATACCTTTCCCACGATCCTTTGAATTCAATGACACCAGCTCTTAGGATATCCTCCAGAATTTGAATAGTTCACTCGGATTGACCATCGGTTTGAGGATGAAACGCTGTGTTGAAGTTCAACCGAGTTCCTAGTGCTCCATGTAATGACTTCCAAAACCGTGATGTGAATCTAGGATCTCGATCAGAAACTATGGAAATAGGTACACCATGCAGACGTATAATCTCTCTAATATACAGATTCACATACTTATTAATGGAGAAATCAGTTCGTACCGGAATAAAATGGGCTGACTTAGTCAATCTATCTACGATCACCCAGATTGAATCCTTTTTGTTCGGAGTTAAAGGCAACCCCGTGACAAAATCCATCGTTATGTTTTCCCATTTCCATTGAGGAATTGAAATTGGTTGTAACAATCCTGACGGAACCTGATGCTCAGCTTTGACTTGTTGACAAGTCAAACACTTTGATACAAATTTCGTAATGTCTTTCTTCATTCCCGGCCACCAATATCGACTCTTGAGATCCATATACATTTTATTCCCTCCCGGATGCATTGTCAATGGACTACAATGAGCTTCCGTTAACAAATCATTCTTTAATTCATCATCATCCAGAATTACCAATCTTTCTTGATAATACAAATTCTCATCAGACTTAATCTCATAATCCGTACCCTCCATTTCTTATCTGTTGTATCTTTTTTAAACACTTTCCATCTTTAGCTTGCAATTCTTTAATTCGATATAGCCATGATGGCTTGACAGTTAATTCTGCACAAATTGCACCATATTCTCTTAACGATAATCTAGCATCAAGAGTTCGCAAAGCTGCAAACGTCTTTCTACTCAAGGCATCAGCTACCACATTTGCCTTTCCAGGATGGAAATCAATCACAACATCATAATCCTTGAGAAATTCCACCCATCTTCTTTGTCTTAAATTCAACTCTTTCTGAGTCATCAAGTATTTTAAGCTCTTGTGATCCGTATACAAGTAGCACTTTTCACCATACAAGTAGTGACGCCAGATCTTTAAAGCAATCACTACTGCTGCCATCTCTAGGTCGTGTGTTGGATAATTCTTCTCGTGCGGTTTTAGTTGTCTTGAAGCATAGGCCACCACCTTGCCTTTTTGCATTAATACGCATCCCAAACCACTATGAGACGCATCACTATACACTATAAAGTTCTTACCAGACTCAGGTTGAACTAACACTAGAGCTTCTGTAGAATCTTATTTACTTTTCAAAACTCTTGACATTCTTGAGTCCAAACAAATTTTACTTCCATTTTCAACAGTTTAGTTAGGGGTAATACTATGATCGAAATTTTTTTAACGAACCTTCGATAATAACCAGCTAACCCCAGAAAACTTCTAACTTCTTATATTCTTTGGAACTTCCACTCTAGAATAGCTTTAATTTTGGGGATCCACTCGAACTCCTTCTGCAGAAATTACATGTCCACGGAATGTCACTTCATTCAACCAAAATTCACACTTAGAA